TAATAATAATAATAATAATAATAATAATAATATAATAATAATAATAATATAATACAATATGGCGGAGAAGTAGAGAGGACTTGTCATGAAACGCTCTTCATAAATTTCGAATTTCACCGACTCTCGAACAACCTGCCAAGCAATAAGTGTCGTCGGAGCAACCTAAATAGCCTGTGTTTTTGTCGTGAACGTAGCGAAATATGGCGCTTTTCGTGTCCTAAAAAGAGGCATAAGGGAAGCATGTTTATCGCGCGGGCATGGTAACGAGTTAAAAATAGCATCAATGATTCTAAAAATAGCATCAAAGTGTGCACATGATGGGATTCCTTTTCTTGACTTAACATAATGTCGACTAATCTTCAAGAACCAACACAGATCGCTTCGAGGCAATCTAATCGATTGGAAAAAAGATGTTCATCTCAACCGATCACTATTTATTAACTGTATATATAATGAATTTTATTTTAGCTTATAACTTCTCGTTTTAATTAACATAGTAATTTATATATATCATATAATATTTGAAGTCTTATGAATATTTAAAATGGATAATAGTGAACAGTTAGTGACAATTATTAAAGAATGTAGATAGAACTTAATCCACAGTTTTAATATCGTAAATATATCTAGATAGGTTTTGTTTAGTCGGTCACAGCTAGCCTGCCCGACTGAATGTAATTGTGCCTAGGCAACCTTAAGTATATAACTGCCATAACAATGAATATTATAATCTTAAAACTCGAGGGAACTCGGCTTCAAAAAAAAAGAAAAAAAGAAAAGAAAAGAAAACCTGGTTCATACCTTATATGGAAGTAAACGACTAGAGGATCGGTGACTGTGCCAATAATGAGATCRGAAACAGCGATGTTTAACAATAAATAGTTAAAGGAGGTCCTCAGATTCTTATTTGGATCTTTTGCCATAGCAACACAGATAAATAGATTGCCTGGTAGCGTGATGATCGTGAGAAGGATGGTGATGACAGAAGTAGTGATAGATAATTCTAGTGGAGGATCTACGGCTTTGCAGTGGTCTTCACCAAATGCCATGTTGTTGACTGCTACAAACTCTGAGGGCAAAATAAAGAACAATGAACGATATACGTTTGATATACGTCCAGTAATAGGCATTTTGCAAAAGATTGACACGTGATTGTTTACTGGATGGCAAAAAAAAAATTGGACTTCCTTATTTTAAAGATTTTTTGCTGGATTACTAATATCGTATCCAAAACCTTTTCAAAAATCCTTTTTTCCCTTATAAGATACTTTCGATTTCGAGATACGAAGCAGTTTAATGTTTGTTTGCCATCCAACAGAGCCTTCCCCAAGGGACCTTGAGCTGAATTGATTCGTTATGCAAGTGATATATCAGCACGTGACTGTTTGTTGCAAATCAGCCAGATGAAACTTCTTCACCCTGCGTGTTTTAATCATTTTTAGGGCAGTAGTATGAGATTTTACGTCTAAAATAAGGATGTTGGTAATGATATTGAAGATGTTTATGATAATGATAAAGATAATGGTAATGGTAAGCGATGTTACAAGAATGATAACGAGGATGACAGATAATGAGGATGCTGGTGATAATGATAATGATAGTTATCGTCAATAATGATTATTATTACAATAATAAGAAGAGGATAAAGAAGAAGAAGAGTGATGATGAAGAAAACGAAAAAAAAAAAAAAAAAAAAAAAAAATACAAAAAAAAAAGACTTGGTAGAAAATTGAATTGA